CTGGAGGTAATCCTCTGGGAGCTCTTTTGTTGCTGCAGGGGCTGCAGGTGCGGGGGGGGGGGGGGAGGGGTGAGGGGGAGGAGGAAGGGGGGGGGGAAGGTGTGGGAAGAGGGGTTTGACAAGAAGGGAGGAGGACCTATGTCACATGTGATGGCGGATGGTTAAGTTATGGCGAGCCAGGGCAAACCGGGGAAGGTCGTTGACAAGAAAGGTCGCATATGCGTCATTTGTTGAGACACGTGTCATTTGTCTCGGCGCCATACCATACCAGTGAGGAAGAAGGTGTCATGGGAGTCTCGAGCAGGGTGCTGCTGTGGCTGGAAGAGCTGTGAGGCGTGTGGTAACATGGTTACATCAGCATACCAGTGAGGAAAGGGGGGTTGCTTGTTGCTTACCAGTGAGGAAGAAGGTGTCGTGGGAGTCTCGAGCAGGGTGCTGCTGTGGCTGGAAGAGCGCGTCGAAGTTCCAGAAGCTGCTCTCCACGAAGTTGTTGGTCGGCATCTCTTGGAAGCTAGCGGGGGAAAAGGAGAGGAAGTGGAAAAAAGGGAATGGTAATGTGTTGCTTGGGTTCAGATCTCCGAGGTTGGCGGATGGAACGGAGTCACGTTCAAATGTTCGTGACGTGACACAAGGGTACGCAGAATCGAAAAAGCAGAGATATGAGGATTCGAGGAGGGGATACGAGGATACGTGAATACGGGGATACGAGGATACGAAGATCCAGGTTCTAGGGTGTAGGAACGAGGCACTGCAATGCAAGTAACACCATTTTTGGAGCTACCTGACACCATCCCGTCTTCTTTCTTTCTTTCTTTCTTTCTTTCTTTATTTTGAACCACTCACCCCATTTCAAGGAAGATCTTCCGAAACTGGGCCCGAACCTTCAGCAGCGGGTGCAGGTGCCCCCCCTCCGTGGGCAGACCCAGGGCGTTGAAGTTGTACGGCTTGAACTCCTCAGACTTCCACGCGCCACTGGAAGGAAAGAAAGGAGGGCGTGAAAGCAAAGGAGGGACGAAGGAAGCTGTGTGAGGGGAGCAGTGCAGGTGGCCCCCGCCAGGGCGTTGAAGCTGTAGCTTGAACTCCACAGTCTTCCACGCGCCACTGGAAGGGAACGGAAAGAAGGGAAAGGTAAAGGTACGTTATTGAGATGTGTAACCACCTCGCACATGCAAGCTCTAAAGATACAGTATAGAACCGCTCTTCACCTCTCCGCACCGCATCACGCACCTCTGGATCATCTCCCTGGTGAGGTCGGTGGCGGCCTTTTTCTTCTCCAGGGCGAACTTCGCCCCTTTGCCCAGCAGGTAGGTCCGCCACGTGCTGGGCGCCACCAGCTTGCGCTTCTTGTGGAGGTAGTCCAGGTCGGGGGTGGGTAGGGTCTGGGGGAAGGAGGGACGGGGGTTGAGGGAAGAGGGAAGGCGGCGACAAGAGAGTGTTGAGAAGAGAAGCCCTCAACCGGTACGCGCGCCACGCCACGTGCTAGGGGGCACCAGCTTGAGCTTCCTGTGGAGGTAGTCCAGGTCGGAGGTTGGTAGGGTCTGGGGGAAGGAGGGACGGGGGTTGAGGGAAGAGGGAAGGCGGCGACAACAGAGTGCTGCGAAGAGAAGCCCCTTGCTCAGCCGGTACGTGCACCACGCCACGTGCTGGGCGCCACCAGCTTGCGCTTCTTGTGGAGGTAGTCCAGGTCGGGGGTGGGTAGGGTCTGGGGGAAGGAGGGACGGGGGTTGAGGGAAGAGGGAAGGCGGCGACAAGAGAGTGTTGAGAAGAGAAGCCCTCAACCGGTACGCGCGCCACGCCACGTGCTAGGGGGCACCAGCTTGAGCTTCCTGTGGAGGTAGTCCAGGTCGGAGGTGGGTAGGGTCTGGGGGAAGGAGGGACGGGGGTTGAGGGAAGAGGGAAGGCGGCGACAACAGAGTGCTGCGAAGAGAAGCCCCTTGCTCAGCCGGTACGTGCACCACGCCACGTGCTGGGCGCCACCAGCTTGCGCTTCTTGTGGAGGTAGTCCAGGTCGGGGGTGGGTAGGGTCTGGGGGAAGGAGGGACGGGGGTTGAGGGAAGAGGGAAGGCGGCGACAAGAGAGTGTTGAGAAGAGAAGCCCTCAACCGGTACGCGCGCCACGCCACGTGCTAGGGGGCACCAGCTTGAGCTTCCTGTGGAGGTAGTCCAGGTCGGAGGTGGGTAGGGTCTGGGGGAAGGAGGGACGGGGGTTGAGGGAAGAGGGAAGGCGGCGACAACAGAGTGCTGCGAAGAGAAGCCCCTTGCTCAGCCGGTACGTGCACCACGCCACGTGCTGGGCGCCACCAGCTTGCGCTTCTTGTGGAGGTAGTCCAGGTCGGGGGTGGGTAGGGTCTGGGGGAAGGAGGGACGGGGGTTGAGGGAAGAGGGAAGGCGGCGACAAGAGAGTGTTGAGAAGAGAAGCCCTCAACCGGTACGCGCGCCACGCCACGTGCTAGGGGGCACCAGCTTGAGCTTCCTGTGGAGGTAGTCCAGGTCGGAGGTGGGTAGGGTCTGGGGGAAGGAGGGACGGGGGTTGAGGGAAGAGGGAAGGCGGCGACAACAGAGTGCTGCGAAGAGAAGCCCCTTGCTCAGCCGGTACGTGCACCACGCCACGTGCTGGGCGCCACCAGCTTGCGCTTCTTGTGGAGGTAGTCCAGGTCGGGGGTGGGTAGGGTCTGGGGGAAGGAGGGACGGGGGTTGAGGGAAGAGGGAAGGCGGCGACAAGAGAGTGTTGAGAAGAGAAGCCCTCAACCGGTACGCGCGCCACGCCACGTGCTAGGGGGCACCAGCTTGAGCTTCCTGTGGAGGTAGTCCAGGTCGGAGGTGGGTAGGGTCTGGGGGAAGGAGGGACGGGGGTTGAGGGAAGAGGGAAGGCGGCGACAACAGAGTGCTGCGAAGAGAAGCCCCTTGCTCAGCCGGTACGTGCACCACGCCACGTGCTGGGCGCCACCAGCTTGCGCTTCTTGTGGAGGTAGTCCAGGTCGGGGGTGGGTAGGGTCTGGGGGAAGGAGGGACGGGGGTTGAGGGAAGAGGGAAGGCGGCGACAAGAGAGTGTTGAGAAGAGAAGCCCTCAACCGGTACGCGCGCCACGCCACGTGCTAGGGGGCACCAGCTTGAGCTTCCTGTGGAGGTAGTCCAGGTCGGAGGTGGGTAGGGTCTGGGGGAAGGAGGGACGGGGGTTGAGGGAAGAGGGAAGGCGGCGACAACAGAGTGCTGCGAAGAGAAGCCCCTTGCTCAGCCGGTACGTGCACCACGCCACGTGCTGGGCGCCACCAGCTTGCGCTTCTTGTAGAGGTAGTCCAGGTCGGGGGTGGGTAGGGTCTGGGGGGAAGGGGGAAGGAGAGAAGAGTGAAGGGGATGGTAGAGTTGTGAGAATATAAGCGCCACGTGCTAGGCGCCACCAGCTTGCTTGCGCTTCTCGTGCAGAGAGTCCAGATCCGCAGTGAGTAGTGCCTCGGGAGGAGAGAAGAGTGGAGGCGATGGGGGAGCATTGGGACCTCAGTGGGGTGTCACCACACCAGCGTGCGCTTCTTGTGCAGATAGCCCACATGTGGTGCGGCTAGGGTTTGCGGGAGTGCTGCAGGGAAGAAAGACCGGAATCAGCGGAATTAGCTGCATCGTTCTTCGCATGTACATCGTACTAGCCACATTGCCCATTCCTGACTCCACTGCCTGCTCGTTATCATCCCCTCGCTTCTGTCACATCCCTCGCTACTGTCCCAGTCGCATTCGCCTTGCAATCGATCCACTCCTCGCTCGCCTTCCCTCACCTCTCCTTTGCTCAGGCTCGTCAGCAGCCGCTGCACTTTATCCTCGATAGAAGCCACTTTTCGCTGAACCGTGGGTCCCCCTTCGCCCTTGCTTATAGCGAGCCACTTATTCGCCATCGCCTGCTTCATCCCGATATCCGCCACCGCGCCGAGGGATTTCTTCAAACCGTCCAATGGGATGCCGCCATCTGGCACGGCGTTGAACACCTGCGCTTCGGGCGATCCCGAATCGAGGTACCCCTTCGCCTCGTCTGTGAGGGTCCATGATTGGTGCTCGATCTCCTGTTATAGGAACGGGGGTTACAGGAACAGTCGTTCAGAAGAGCGATCAACGACGCACGCAAGTATGGGGAGCAACTTTAGCAGAACTGGAAGTTCCTTAGGAGATGCCTCAAAGCCGCGTATGCTATCAGAACAATGCGAACTGAGATGAACGAGTTGTCAAGTAACGGAGCGGAATGAGTCACCTAAAGTCGCCTAAAGTCGCCTAAAGTCGCCTAAAGTCGCCTAAAGTCGCCAAAGTCGGTAAACTCGACGATCCTCAGAAGTGATCAATCAGAGTCGCCTCAGCACGATCGGCCATATAGAAGAACCTCTGAGACGATCAATCAGCGTTGCCCCGTATAGACACAATCAATCACGCGAACCTCGATCACCCTTATAGACGAACCTCTGCGACGATCATCTCGTACGCGAGGAGGCTCTTAATGGTTCCGACCAGCGCGGCGTGATCCACGCCGGCACTCGCGGCCCAGTCACCAGAGTCTTTAATCTCCCCGGCCTCGTTCAGCGCCCGCAGGAGCCGCTCCTCCACGCCCTCCATCGCGCTATAGCGAGGATGGTACTACAACGAAATGCGACCAATGAAAACACGTGGCGGATCGGAGCGACGGGGTGACGCGTGGCGTGGTCAGGCAACCGGGATTTGCTCTCTAATCCCTAGTGAGAAAGGTACGGTCTGGTGGGCTGAAGGCCAACAAGAATCGACAGAGGGACAAGCAGCCCAAACCAAACTCCCCCGGCAATCTCGATGCTGGGGCTTTGTTCTTATAATGGCGAAAGATTTGTGTGACTGATCAAATTCCGTGGGCTTTCATCGGTATGGGTAATGTTAAGAGATGTGAAGTGTATTAGAGGTATCGTTCGGATTTTACCCAGAATAAGGATTTCTGCCCCTTCACACGCAACCAACCCCCCTGATCAATCCGGCCTACCGCGCATGCTCTAGTTTTTTTTTTTTCGCGTCTGCTCTGCATTCCTCCCAGAATAGTGCCCCTGTTCGTCTCTTTGTCTCACCAATGCAGTATCGCGAATCGCGATAGGACCGTACACTCAGTCTACTCCTGTATTTCGATTCGACGTGCCTGCTCCTGTGCCGATTGTCGAGTTGTGCGACCGACCATTTTCGCAATGGCGACTCTTGCCGGCCCTTTGCGAAGCTCGCGAATCCTACGAAGCTTGTCAGAAAGCCATCGCCTGAATGCGGTTACCGCAACTCACGGGAATTCTAGTCTCGGATTTCAGGCTTGGACAGGCTTTCAGTGTATACAAGCATCCTCTTTGTTAGCTTCCCCCCATAAGTCTACAGGATTCGCGAAATCGTCGATTTCAGGAAAGAGGTTACATAAATCCGGTTCATTGGGCTCGTCCCAGGGTCAGACCAGGAATACCCAGGGCATTCATACGCGCCTTAGACACGGCCCGGGTTTCCATACAAGAGCGTTCTTCTGGCAACGGGGTTCCGAGGGGGAGAAGGATAAAGCAGCTGACGTTGATAAGGAGGCGGAGGAGGCGGAAAAGGCGCGGAAGGAGAGAGAGGAGAAGGAGAAGGAGGAGGAGGAGAGGAGGAATAAGCTGGTCATGAGTATTTTCATCGACTTGCTGGGGTGCGTCCGCTGCTCCCTCTGCTCCTCCTGTGCTCTTCCCATATTGACACGATGTGCTTTCCTCCCTTTCTCTCCCCCTCGCCTCTGTGTTCACCTCTTCGCTTGGACGCATTCCCCCGTCTCCCGTTCTCTCCCCCCTCACCTCTCCCCCCCACCTCTCCCCCTCGCCTCTCCCTTTCTCTCCCTCTGGCCTCTCCCAGGCTGTTGGCCAGCCGGCATCTCGTCCCGTTAGACTACATCTGGATTCCAGCCTCAGCCTTCATCATTCAGGTGCTGTCAACAGACACTCAGGTGCTGTCAACAGACACTCAGGTGCTGTCTACCAACACTCAGGTGCTGTCAACAGACACTCAGGCCCCCCAACCCCATACCCCCCCTCTTTTACTCCCCCTCCCCACTCCCTGCCTTAATCACTTCAGAGATTATACCGTGCGCCTCTGCTCTCCAGTGTAGGCTTTGTGGAGCAGGCTATACCCGGCATTGAGTTTATCCCCACTGCTACACTAGGTGAGTCACACCACACTGCTCAGGTTGTAGCCCGTAGCACATGGGTCACATGGGTCACACGGGGCACAGGGGGCACATGGGACACATGGGGCATACGGGGCACAATTCACCGCTCACATTGAGAGACTGATGGTGTTGTGGCTCCAACATCATCCTTCTGTACGATGATGATTCAGTTCTCCTTCGTGGGCTTAACTCTATCCTTCCCCCCCCCCCCCTCCCCTCCCCTCTCCCCCCAGGCTGGATGCTGGAGACCTACCCTGAGCTGCGGAAAATCACAAAAGCGCTGCCGCTGATGGGCCGACTCAGTAGCAGGTTCAAGAAATGATGGTTCAGATTTTTATGATTCTTATTGAAAGACTTTGCTGCAGTGTAGCTAAATATATAAGTTTAGGAACAGCTGTGAACAGGTTCTTTGCGAAGAGTCAACATCATTTCTAGAGAGGCATTCTACAGAAAGCCCAACAGCCATGCATTACGCAGGCTCAGGCAAATCACAGCAGATAAGTTTATAACCTCGAATCAGACTACTTATGTATGAGAAATGAAATGGAAGAATCCAAGGCTTTCATGACCTGCTGTACTGTTATTGGACCATCGCACTACTGCTGATGTGGTAACCAATTTCCACCATTCACATCAGATCCACCCAGAAAAATGAGCGACCGATGCCACCATTAGCGTCACCACCACTAGCACAATGTAGCGGCAGCAACAGCCTAGGAGCTGAGCTCCTTGGCGAGCTTCTCAGCCTTAGCCACCACCTCCTCGATGCCGCCCACCATGTAGAACGCCTGCTCTGGCAGATCGTCGTACTTGCCGTCCAACACACCCTGGGAAGGGGTTGAAGAGTGGGGAGAGGGGTAAGGGGACATGGGATGACGGGTGCAGGGCAAGCAGCAGCCCAACCTCCTCGATGCCTCCCACCATGTAGAACGCCTACTCTGGCAGATCGTCGTACTTGCCGGCACACCCTGATTAGTCAAAGGGGGAGAAGGGAGTGTGGGGGGGGGAGAGGCAGGGATGAGTGATACAGGAGGACACAAGCTGCAGCCTGATCTATGATCCCTCGGCCACGTGGAGGGGCTGGCTCAGGAAGCGGTGAATCTTGCTGCAGTCAGTTCCTCCCATGTTCCATGCTCACACAAGGCAATGGGGCAAGCAAGGCGGCACTTCTCTTACCTGGAAGCTGGTGATGCTCTCCTTCACATCCACGTATTTGCCTGGGGAGCCCGTGAAGACCTCGGCCACGTGGAAGGGCTGGCTCAGGAAGCGCTGAATCTTGCGCGCGCGGGCCACCACGAGCTTGTCATCCTCACTGAGCTCGTCCATTCCCAGAATGGCAATGATGTCCTGAAATGGAAAGGAGAAGGGAGAAAAGGGGGGGTGAGGAGGAGATAGCGGTAAAGGTGGCACGGCACTGGCCACCACGAGCTGTCATCCTCACTGAGCTCGCCCATGCCAAGAATGGCAATGATGTCCTGAAATGGAAAGGAGAGGGCAGAAAGGGGAGGGTATGGGGAGGAAAGGGAGGGAGGCGTAAGGAAGAGATGAGAGCATGCGGACGGAAACTCTGCACATGCAATAAGCAGCAAGCAAGATGTGATTATATCAGGCAACCGGTAAGCACAAATCCTGTCCTAATAGTTATCATCTCCTCTCACCTGCAGGTTATCCTGGAGAACCTTCTGCACGCCACGCGCACAGTTGTGATACTCCAAGCCCAATATGGAGGGGGAGAGCATGCAGCAGCAGAGCATGCAGCAGCAGAGCATGCGGCCGCAGAGCATGCAGCAGCAGAGCATGCGGCAGCACAGCTTCCTACCGCTCTCGTTACAGGCACCAACAATCCTCTCACCTGGAGTTTCTTGTAATCCTGGAGAACCTTCTGCACGCCACGAGCACAGTTGTGGTGCTCCAAGCCCAGGATTGGGGGAGAAAGCATGCAGCAGCACAGCTTCTCACTGCTCTCGTTACAAGCACGCATACATACATGTGGCAACAACAATCGTCTCACCTGGAGGTTCTTGTAGTCCTGCAGCACCTTCTGCACGCCACGAGCGCAGTTGTAATGCTCCAAGCCCAGGATGGAGGGGGAGAGCATGCGAGACGAGGAGTCGAGGGGATCCACGGCCGGGTAGATACCCAACTCGGAGATCTGCGAGATGATTGGAGTGGGAGGAAAGAGCGAGACGAGGAGATGTTTAGTGCCCCCAAGCCCAGGATGGAGGGGGAGAGCATGCGAGACGAGGAGTCGAGGGGATCCACGGCCGGGTAGATACCCAACTCGGAGATCTGCAAGGGTGGGGTTGGGCAGGTGAGAGGGGTTTAAGGGTGCAAGGGAAGGAGAGAGACGAGGAAGGAGGATGAGGATGGAGGGGGAGAGCATGCGAGAAGAAGTCGAGGGGGTCGACGGCCGGGTAGATACCTGACTCAGAGATCAAATCACTTCGAAGAAATGCCCCCTTACCTGGCGCGACAGCACAGTGGAAGCATGCAGATGCGCAAATGTTACAGCCGGGGCAGGGTCCGTCAGATCATCAGGGGTCACGTAGATGGCATTTGCCAACCTGATAGAGCCCTTCTTGGACCCTTCTTGACCCCTTCTTCCAAGTCCCCCCCGGCATACCAAAGAAGCCTACCTGGCGATTCAAGATGTGGTGGCAGGGGCAGGATCAGTCAGATCGTCAGCGGTCACATAAATCGCATGTGCCGACGTGATGGAGCCCTTTCTGAACCCTCCCTGGACCCTTTCTGAACCCTTCCTGGACCCTTCCTGGACCCTTCCTGGACCCTTCCTGGACCCTTCTTGGGCCTCTCTTTGCCCCTCCTTCAACCCGCTCCTCCACCCCTTATTCCAAAAACCCCCCTGGCGTACCACGCCAGAGAAACCCGCTCTTCCGCCCCTTATTCCCAAGACCCCCATGGGGTACTAGAGAAAGCCCCCTACCTAGCGAGACAGCACAGTGGTGGCGTCGAGATGGGCGAAGGTAGTAGCAGGAGCCGGATCAGTCAAGTCATCAGCAGGCATGTAGACGGCCTGCTCCGACGTGATGCACCCCTTCTCGGGACTCTCTAAGGCCATTTTGCCCTCTTTCCAGCGGGAGGCAAAACCCTAACTCTCTAAGGCAAAGCCCTACCTGGCGCGACAGCACAGTGGTGGCGTCAAGATGCGCAAACGTGGTGGCAGGAGCGGGATCAGTGAGATCGTCAGCGGGCACGTAGATGGCCTGCACCGACGTGATGGAGCCCTTCTTGGTGGTCGTGATTCGCTCCTGCAGCCCTCCCAGATCCGTGGCGAGAGTGGGCTGGTACCCCACAGCTGAGGGAATGCGACCCAGCAGCGCAGACACCTCGGAGTTGGCCTGCCAGAAAGGAGGATGAGGGGGGAGAGAGAAGGATGGTTGAGGGACGGGAGTGATTCGCTCCTGCAGCCCTCCCAAATCCGTGGCCAGGTTGGGCTGGTAACCGACAGCAGAGGGGATGCGACCCAGCAGAGCAGACACCTCGGAGTTGGCCTGCAATGTGTGTATTGCACGGGGTGAAAAGAAAAGACGGGGCAAGCGAGTGAGAAGACGACCAGCACCGACGTGATGGACGGTGGACCCCTTCTTGGTGGTAAGGGGAAAGTGTGGGGAAGAGGGGGGAAGTGGGGAGGAGTGGGCCCAGGCGGGGATGGCGGACCCAAACAAGAAAGGCTTGGAAAGTGACTCGAAACACTTCCCATCAGCGCTCAACTCACACCTTTGGGCGGCCCCCTTCACCCTGAGCCTACCTGCGTGAACCTGAAGATGTTATCCACCAAGAAGAGCACGTCCTGCCCCTCGTAGTCGCGGAAGCGCCGTTGGCCACGTGATGCCCGCGCATCAGCCCCAGTAAATGACCCAGTCACTCCCAGCCATACCCTCAACACTCGGAGCCTACCTGCGTGAACCTGAAGATGTTATCCACCAAGAAGAGCACGTCCTGGCCCTCGTAATCGCGGAAGTGTTCCGCCACCGTCAGCCCTGTCACTCCCACCCATCAGCCCTAGTAAATAACCCATTCGCACCGGACTAAACTGCTCATTCCTACCTCGTAGTCGCGGAAGTGCTCCGCCACCGTCAGCCCCGTCAGCCCCACGCCTGGCTGCCTCACCCTCTCGTTCCCACCACACCTGTCCGCCCGACCCCTGTCAGTCAGCCCCGGTAGCCTCAAGGGGGCGCGCGTCAGAGCCACCCATACGCCCCACCCGTCAGTCCCTCACACGCGCACACGCACCATCGCCCCCTCAACAATCGGCGCGCACCTGCGTGAACCTGAAGATGTTGTCGACGAAGAAGAGCACGTCCTGCCCCTCGTAGTCGCGGAAGTGCTCCGCCACCGTCAGCCCCGTCAGCCCCACGCGCGCGCGCGCACCGGGGGGCTCGTTCATCTGCCCGTACACCAGCGCGCACTTGCTCTCCAGCTGATGGCGGAAGCAAGGGGGGGCGGAAGAGGAGGCGGGGGGGGGGGGGGAGCAGGAGGCGTTAGGGTTGTAGTAGCAGCATCGCCAGGGGGCTCCTTCATCTGCCCGTACACCAGCGCGCACTTGCTCTCCAGCTGATGGCGGAAGCAAGGGGGGGCGGAAGAGGAGGCGGGGGGGGGGGGAGCAGGAGGCGTTAGGGTTGTAGTAGCAGCATCGCCAGGGGGCTCCTTCATCTGCCCGTACACCAGCGCGCACTTGCTCTCCAGCTGGGGGGATGGCGGAGAGGGGACGCATGGAGAGAGGGGGGGGGGGGGGGGGGAAATGGGGGAGCGGAAGAGCAGTAGGGGGCTCGTGCATCTGCCCGTACACCAGCGCGCAGCACTCGAGCTGAAGGTGGGGAAGCGCCGGGGGGGTGGGAAATGGAGTATCGGCCGGCTGTACTAGAGTCTCGCGGGAGGAGAGAGAACGAGGACAAGAGAACAACAGAAAGAGGTCCAGGAGGGGAAGGCGGAACTAGGGAAGGTAGTAAGGGCGCACCTGCTTGTCGCCCAGCTTGATGACGCCCGACTCAGTCATCCCCTTGTACAGATCGTTGACCGCTCGAGTGCGCGGGAAAGCAATAGGCAAGGGAACAAACGGGAGTTCACGAGAGCTACCTGCGGCTAATGAGAGCTCACCTGCTTGTCGCCCAGCTTGATGACGCCCGACTCAATCATCTCCTTGTACAGGTCGTTGCCCTCTCGGGTGCGCTCCCCCACTCCGGCGAACACAGAGAAACCACCTGCGGGCGCCAAGAGGCGGCAGAGAGCACACGAAAAACAGGAAAACACAGGAGAAACACGGGGACACGTGTCATCTCCTTGTACCGATCGTTACCCCCTCGGGTGCGCTCCCCCACGCCGGCGAACACAGAGAAACCACCTGCAGCT